ACTATTTTGCATGTAATTTATGTTGAAAAATATGGTTTCAAATGACGGGGTATTTTTTTTTTTTTTTTATTTTACTTCACCTCCTCAAGGCCGAGAAGGCCACTACAGACGAGGAGACTACTTATTTTGTGGCTATAACCCTCTCTCAACTCTATAACTCCGAAACACGAACCTTGACGAACAAGGCCGCTGCGCAGAGAAACGAGTTGAGCGCGGTACTACCAGGGATGTGGTGGGGATCGAACTCGGAACCACTCGTTTATGAAGCGAGCACTACCGCATATTTGAAGTACTTTTTTTAGTTAAAATTTCATTTAGTCGAATAATTTTACTTTAGTCGAATACTTTTGCGTTCCAAAGCGGTCCAGTAATTTGAAACTTGAAATACATTGTTCAATATGTATATTATAAATAAAAATTTCCACCGATGTCCGCCTGGCCTCTAATAATGGTTTTGCAAGTTAACCGGTGTAGTATGAGATTATTACTCCCGCGTTTTTTTTTTAACTTCCCAGTAAAAATCTCATATTAAATTTTTACACTTAATATAAGATTTTTACTCCCATAATAATATTATGCGGCAAAATATATATTTGTAACAAAATCACGTTGTATTTTGAGAATCGTTTTCAACGTTTTAATTACTGCGGTTTCTTGAAAAGCAATAAGAAGCGAATCTTTTAATACAGTTTTCATATTTCTAAAAATTTAACTATCCATACTAAATTTGCCGACGTTCATAATTTTTTAAAAAGAAGCATATATCCAAAGACAGCTATTAGTAAAGGTGATAAGTCGAACTTTCGAAGAAAAACAAGACCATTTGTAATTGAAGATAAAGAGCTGTATTATCTGGGTAAATCTGGCGTTGAGGTAAAAAGTTTATATAATTAGAGTTTTTAATACTAGCGTGGTTTGTGATAAATACATATATTTTTATGTATACGTTTATGTATCACGTTTTATATAATAACGTATTACATAGTAATATCATGTTTTAAAAATGTATCATGTAATAATAATACATAATATATAATAATATCATGTTTTACATAATTACATAATAAAAAGCTTGTACTTTACTAGTATAATAATGCCGTGATAAAGAAAAACACAATAACTGTAAAAATATACACTTTGCACTCTTTAAATAAATATATTTATATATTTTATAATAGCATTTTAAATTTTTTTTTAGAGAAAAGTTATTTGGTGCAAAGAAGAGCAACACCATATAATTAATTCTGTTCATGATGGAAATGATATTTCTAATGAGGCTAACGCTTTATCTGGCCACATAGGCATCAATTCAACAACAGAGCATATTAAAAAGACGTTTTTTTGGTTTGGTACGGTAAACGACATTACAGCCTATGTTTCAGAATGTGATAATTTTCAAAAAGCAAAACACAAGAAACTTCAAGTTAAACCATTGTTACAAAGCATATTGATTCCAAAAGGTAACATGAAACAGGTTGGGATTGATTTGACTCAACTCCCAGAAGTAAATGGGTATAAATATCCGATAGTACTAGTTGATTATTTCAGCAAATGGGTAGAAGCTGAACCTCTGTTTGATAAAACAGCAAATCTGTGGCAATATTCCTGTATAAGCAAATATTTAGACACGGATGTTTTGAAATACAGATTAACGATCAAGACCGTGAATTTGTAAATGAGCTTTCAAATGAACTTCACAGGCAAACTAGGACTAGTCAACGCATGACGAATGCATACCATCCACAAGCAAATGGTTTAGTAGAACGTCAAAATCAATCAATAAAACAAAGATTGGTAAAGGTGCTAGAAGATGCTGTTCTTAAATGGCCATTTATTATTGACGGTGTTTTGTTTTTAATACGAATTAGAAAACACAAATCAACTGGATTTTCATCCTTTGATTTACTTTATCAAAGAGAACCTGTTCTGTCAATTGAAATAGATCAGAACCTAATTGAATATAATGATAATGCTACTCTGATTAAAGACGATTCCCATAACAAAAAAGCAATTTTGGAAACATTCAATAAAATAAATGAAATGAAGGAGTATATTTTTGATGAAGCTTACAAAAACATCCAAAAGTCACAAATAAGGCAAAAACGCGGCTATGACAAAAGATTTAATCCAAAGAATAGTATTGCTATGGGAACAAAGGTTTTATTGCGAAATCACAAACGCGATGACAGAAAAGGTGGAACGCTTGTGAAGCCATGGATAGGACCATACACGGTAACTTATAGTTCAAGTACAAATAACTGTAGTTTAAAGAATGAAAAAAACGTAATATTGAAAAAAAAAGTACAGTTTAACAAGTTTGTCTTTGTACAAAGAAAAATCACTAAGTAATGGCAGCATTCAAATAGAAGAAATTAAGAAATTATCAAATGATGATGATATCAAAACTGAACCAGTTATCAAAGACGTTGAATTAAGCAAGTCATATATAAATACTCAACATGAAAGCTGTGTAAATGTTTTAGACAAAGGAATAGCAAAAAGAATGTGCAACTTTAGATATGAGAAAATTATTTGCAGAAAAGTTTGAAATTGTTAGGAAACATAAACCTTACTCTTTGTCCTCAGGGACTCGATAGAATTAAAGGAGATAGAAACTGCTTTTTTAGAGCAGTATCTTTTATCATAACAGGAAGTGAGGATGAGCATAAGCAAGTTAGAGACAAGGTTGTTAACCATATGTGTAACCACATACATGATGAAATGAATGGATATTTAAATATGCCAACTCAAACGTATATTTGTAAAACTAGAATGCTTGAAGATGCGACATGGGCAACTGGTGCGGAGATAATTGGATGTACTTCATTTATGGAAGTAGATAGTCAAGTATACAGCAAATATGGAGCGAAAACAAAATAGATGATCTACCCATGCAGTTTACGGCTTAATAAGTTAAGTGACTATTCTATATTTTTAAACAATTCAACTGGATTCCACTTTGATGTTGTGATTAACAATTGAAAATCTAATACATATATATTTGTATTTCTTTTACGAGTTATAAATACTGCTGTTTAATTTCAATTATTGTATTTTCTATTCTTGTACTATGTAAGTTTATATATTAAACGCAGCAACTTGTTTGAAAACGGAAATAATTTAGTTAGACTGTCTAAATAAAAAAACAATTTTAACAAAATTATGTGGTGCAAATTTAAAATTGTGTTAGATTACTTATTGTCTTACAAATCGTTATCTGAAAATTGCCCCTCCCCTATTTTCAACCCCAAAAAAATTTATTTCATTTCGCAAATGTGTTTAAATCTGCTGCTACACCTTTAAAAAATAAATTTGAAAATATTCTTTAACATTACCTTAATAAAAACACATGTTTACATGAAAAAAAATTTATAAAGTGACGTCCTTTTCTGACAACCTCCCCCCCCCCTCCTTTCTCTCATCCTTTTTATCTCAACCCCCTACCCTCACCCTTATTTAGACGACGTCCTCTATGGATGGCCCCTTACTACATGATCTGGTTCGGCTCTTGTTTTTTTATTTAAACACTACAATACTTTAAAATAATGTTCATATTAAACGGAATCGTTTCTTTATTGCTATTCAAAAAACAACTGTCTTTCAAACGTTAAAAACAAAAATTCAAAATACAACAAAGTCGCAAAACACATTTTGCCGCATAATATTATTATGGGAGTAAAAATATCATAATGGGAGTAAAAATTTAACATAAGATTTTTACTGGGGAGTAAAAACTTAATAAGCGGTTTTTATTGGTGAGTAAAAACATAATATAAGATTTTTACTTGGAAGTAAAAAACGCGGGAGTAATAATCTCATACTACACCAGTAGAAAAAAAGATAGTTGACGCAAGACGTTTTAAAAACGTCTACGCCACGTATTACTACGTATTTTATACGTCTTTAACGCGTTTATTAACCGTAAGTGGCGACCACCTAGTTGCTAGCTCATCGCTCACCCGGTAAATTATGTATCCAATATTATGTGGCGAAAACATTATATGTATTTTATTTTAAATGGTTATTTAATAGTTGGGTATTAGCAAGATTAGATTAGTGTTACAAACTTGTTTTGTTAATTATACATTCTAAAATACCTATTTGTAAAATTTTGTAAATGAAATTTATATTTTTATATAGTTAAAACTTGAAAAGTATTGATATTCATATATAATATAAGAAAACCTGAAGTTAGGTAATCCTAATATTTTATATAAACAGAAAGATTAAAACTCAGGGTTTCTTTTTATATGGATTGTGTAGCAGTTTCATGAAATATAAAATAGAGCTTTGAAACTGAATAAAATTACTTGAAATTAGTAATTTGGAATGTGTTGATTTTTTAAATGCATAAAATAGTTTTTAATCAGACTGCCACATTAATACAATTCTAATTATAACAATGATGCTTGGAGAAAATTTACTTAAGCTTGTTACTATGCAAAATGAAGCGTCAGGCCTTTTAGATGTCACTATCAATCAAATAAAAAATCCATTTTCATCCGGTTTCTTAAAAGTAAAAATAAAAGTCTTTGAAAAACTAAAATTCACCCGACTGAATTTTATCAAATAACCTACGAGCCGACTAAATTTGTCAAAAAACCAACAATTACTTCAATACCACCTTCTTTGTCAGGGTAGAGCTCCTCCTTTTCCACACTCTCCACCTAAAATCGTCTTTGTTTGCAATCTTTACGCATAAAAATCTTTGTTTCTTTTAAACACTGCAAAAATAATACACAATAAAGCTTGTTTTTATTTTGATTTTTTGTTGAAAACGTGAGTTTTTATTAAAAATATGAACATTAAAATGTTATTCAAAGGTATATATATAATATAAAAGTACAGGCTAAAATGAAATTTTAATCTGAGCGATTCGGACTCTTAAATTTTAAATTCACTAAAAAATTCATTTGATAAAATTATATAAACTTTTTTTTTTTACTCAAATTATAAAACTGCTGGTTCGTTAGTTAGTTATATACTTTAACTTTTCTTAGGTAACGCAGAGGGATTGTTTTATCGCAACGATTCGTTTAGTTTTTGGACGCAAAGAGTCAAGTGGAATCGTTAAATATTATAATTTTTATTTTAATTTAAATTATATTTCCTCACATTTTAACGTATTTGTATTTCATTGAGTAGAGAATGAAACTTGTATTTCTTATCATATATATTCTCTCTCTCTCTCTCTCTCTCTCTCTCTCTCTCTCTCTCTCTATATATATATATATATATATATATATATATATATATATATATATATATATATATATATATATATAGAGAGAGAGAGAGAGAGAGAGAGAGAGAGAGATAAGTACAAGGCCGGCGTGATAGGGAAGTGCGGAGGTTGTGACACCACTAACACCTCCCCCCCCCCCCCCCCATCAATGATTTTTAGTCGGTAAATTGGAGCCTTAGTCGGCAAATTGGACCTTATAGAATAGTTAGTTGGTAAATGTCGACCCTTTCGATAAAAGTTAGTCGGTAATCTAGACAATCGGCAAATGTCGTCAAGGCAGTCGGAAAATTTTGGAAAACGAAGAACTTGTTTTGTTTTGTTTTTGTTTTTTTTAGTCGACAAAGGTTGTAATGGCAACCCCCCCCCCCCCACACGTGACACCTACTCACACCGGCCCTGTATAATTGTATATATATATATATATATATATATATATATATATATATATATATATATATATATATATATATATATATATATATATATATATATATATATATATATATATATATATATATATATATATATATATATATATATATATATATATATATATATATATATATATATATATATACATATATATATATATATATATATATATATATATATATATATATATATATATATATATATATATATATATATATATATATATATATATATATATATATATATATATATATATATATATATTTATATTGTATATATATATATATATATATATATATATATAATTAATAGTTTAAATTAATAGTTTGTATTTTAAATGCTTTACTAAATGTTTTTGTGTTAAAAGGTTATATTGATCATAACATCATTTTAAATAAATTAGATATAAAAAGTGTAAGGGTGATTTCAGTGAGGAGAATGGTGAGAGATTTCAGTAGAACTTTGCTAAAATAAAGAGAAGATAATGAGGACGAATGATAAAAAAGATATACGATGCTAGAATATTAACTTTTTCCAGCTATTTCAAGGATAACGATGATATGATAGGAAATTTTATTTGATCTCTTGTAAAAAGAGAAGTGTGCACTAAAGAAAAATGCAGCCATTAAAGCACATTTAATTATAAGTGAAATATTTATGTTAAAGGTTCCTACATTGTTTGTAAGTTTAAAAACATTTGTATTTGAGAGTTATATTGTTGTTGTTATTTTCTTGTTGTTTTTTCTTTTGTTTGTTTGTTGGTTTATTTTCATTAACAGGTTAGCTGCCAAACCTGTTTTGGCAAGGCGTTATTACACTGCCAAGCCTTAAATTATGCGACATTAAATTTCTGCCGAGGCTGTTTTGCGTGGTTTTGTTCTCACTGCAAAGACTATATATCAACATTTCAATAAATAATATTTTTTCTATCAAGCATAATTTAAAAGCATTTTTTGTTCTTAATATAAAAAAGAAAAAAAAATCCTTACGAGTATACTCGTACTTTGCAAATTAAGAAGAAATTTTTTTCGTCAGTGCCAAAGTACGAGTATACTCGTAAGCGGTTTGTAACAGCAATATTTTCATTACTTTTTTTAAATTGTATTTATCATCTTGGCTGTTTTCTTTATTTTTGCAAATAATAAATATACACATATATATTTAATTTTTTTATATATAAAAATATAAATAATAATAATTATACACATATTTATTTATTTTTATTTACTTTTATTTATTTATTTGAGTTTTCATGCTATTTTTTTCTATACAACGTTCTTACATCCGAGATATTGTTGGCTTAGCATAGGAACAGCCACAAATAGTCATTAAGACTAATTCAAAGTAGCGTCCGTTATTGACCAACATTTTTGCGTACGAAGTACTACTCAAGCGCTGAGTTGGCGGTGGCGGGATTTGAACTCGTATCGTTCAGCAGTCTGGGTTTTCACTTTTCCTTTAACGCTCTAACCATCTGAGCTATATATTTCCCTTTAGTTCATCAAAGATATTTTGAAATTCAAATAGCAACAACTAAGCTAAAAAAGAAGACTTCGTGAGCAGAAGCAGGGAAGGTGTAATTGTGGCTAAACGGAAGAAGATGTTCTAATGATTAGCAACATGCATTCATTAGTAATGGTTGAAGTGACGAACAGAAGATGTGTAAAGAAATTTAAACCCAATATAATTTGAGATTATAATAAAGGCATGTAAGGAGTTGATCGAGCTGATCAAATGGTATCTTATTATGACTGTCTAAGAAAAACCACTAGATGGGATAAAAAAGTAGCTATTCATATTTTTGGTATATTTGTATTTAATGCTTACTGTCTTAACTGCAAGTATGAAACAGATAAAGCAATCTCCTTGCTTAAATTTCGGGAAATAATTGTTATTAATTTATTAGGTGAGCCATTAAACGAAAAAACATTGGTTCCTCAAGTCAACAACAACAAACTTAATTATTTGGCTGCTATACCACCAAATGAAGTGAAGAAATTACCCACAAAATCTTGTTGTGTTTATTTTAAAATGAAACGTAAGGAAACACGCTATCAATGCGTTTTATGTGGAAAAAAGGCTCCGTTATGTGTTGGTTAATGTTTTAAAATACACCATGTAAAATAAAAGGTTTTTAAGATATTTTTCAAGAAAAAAAGCCTAAATACTAAACATATAATACTTTTATTTATTTTAAGTTTCTTATATCTTTATCCGGATTTATATAAAACACGGGGGGTTTACGAAGTACAAGTCTATAACTTAGTTATTTCTAAAATCTATTCTAAAGTTTAAAAAAAAGATATTATATGCACTAACATAGCTAAACATTGTTAAAATTAAATTTTTAATATGTTAGTTGAACAACGAGTATACTCGTAGTTAGCCAATTTTTTATGCATGCATTCCACGAGTATACTAGTAGTTGGCCAAAAAATAGCGTTTTTATACTACGAATATACTTGTAGTTGGCAGCGAACGTGTTAAAGAAATATAGAAAAAAGAAATACAAGAAGTTACAAACAAAATTTTGTACAATTTTTAAAAAAGTATATCAAATAGATTTGATAAAAAAAGTTAATAAAAAAAAGTATTGAAGTACCTTTATGATACAAATATAATGAAGTGTAAATATATTATAGCTCATGTAATTTAAAATAAACTCTACCACAAACTAAATTGAAAATAGCTAAATTTACATGTCCTCCTGAATATGTTTATAAACTCTTTTAGGAGGACTTTGAATTTAACATTCTGATAAAGGAAAATAAACAGTTCAATCTGGTCCTGCTTTTTGTTTTAATAGATTAAGTTGGAGGTAATAATTATGTGCAAAAAGGGTAAGGGGCAAGTAACTCGAATAATAAACTAATTGATTGTTATTTAGCTCATTACCAACTATAAAGGATTAATTTTTTTCTTCTTATTTTATAACTAAACATTTAAATTATAAAAAAAGAATTATTAATAAGAATAAATTTATATTGTCATAATCTTTTCATAAATGATTTAAATTAATATGCATTGAATGTAAAATTAGTTAATAATGAAAGTAAAGGCGATTGTAACCATAAACCTTTTTTTTAGTTTACACAATTTTTTAACTAGTTATACCTATAAAATAATTAAATCAAGAAAATTTTTAAATAATTTACTATAAATAATGAAATTTTGAAAAAAATGAAAAACATTTACCTTTTGTATGGAAATATAATATTATAGCTAGCAAGCTAAAAAGTAAAACTTTCTGTAAAAAGTTTCATTCTGAACCCCCTTTCTCCCCCGCTTTTTCTTTTTCAAGGAATGTAAAAAAGTTTTTCAGTTCTTTTACTTCAAGAAAAATATGTTACTTTTAGTAACACAAATATTTAACACAAATTTTACTTGGTGAGTCGTCAACTACTTTAGCAAGTAGATTTTTTAGTGTTGCCATTTGTTTGCTTTGATCTAAAATATCATTAAATAATTTTAACAAAATAATCCTAGATACATTAAAAAATATAAACAAATAAAAAAAGTATTTTGCCTTCTATTTTTTTATTCATGAAATTGTTGCATCAGTATTTTTTTATACAAAACGAATGAATTTTCTGCTGAAAAAAATAAAAGCAATATAATAATAAAAAAAATTTATACTCTGATTGGTAAAAGATAAATAAGGATTTGAAAAAAATAAATAACAAAAAAAGTCGACAATAAGAACAAAAAAAAAAAGAAAAAGAGAAAAACAAAGATTAAAGTTTAAAAAAATTGTATATCCATATAAATTTCATAGTAAATAACTGATGTGTGTGGTTGTGTGATCAATATTAGAGACAAGCATACCTGGAATTACCTAATGATAAATTCTGATTAAACAATTTGTTTCCTTTGTTTTCCATCTTTTTACATTTGCACATGTTTCATAAATTAACTAACTAGGTGCAAAGGTCATTCAAATAGTTGACCTACAAAGCTGTCCACCAAATTGTTTTAAACGACTAACCTAAAAAGTTTTGAACTACATTAACTGTCATTCTAGATTGCTCACAAAAATTTTGAAAGAAAAATTAAGCAATTTGCAAATAATTTAATTGTTACCATATAAGTATACAACATTATAGTGGGGATTTTATCTTAAATTTTTTCTTCTGCTTGGTGATATTTATACCTCGAGACTCGTTTTGCTGTAGAATCTAAATGCAAACTCCAACAAGATTTGAAGTAAATGAAATTCTTTTAACAGGGTGCTTTAGTATTTCTGCAACGCCCAAGAAAACAAAGTTCAAACTCTAAATCAGGTATTGCAATTGACCAAAGTTGAGTGAAACTTGGTTTAAACACAGGGGGATCATCTAAAAATGAAATGCAGTTTGAAAAGATAAATGAAATGCAGTTTTAATAGGAATGAAGTAAAAAAACAGATGTTCTGTGCGCTCACTATGCAAAAGATAAATTAAAATACTATTACAAGTTAAAAAAATAATACAAACATACATAAATATATTTACTCTGTTGGTCGACTCGAGGTTAGGCGTATAACTATCAA